ACAACTTAATTCTCATGAATCCCTTAACTATTAGAGCTTTAAAAATAACCACCAACACAACATAACGTCATATAACAATATATATTATATTATCACGCAATAAAAGCATTAAAACACATAGTGTTACAAAATTTTCACTGCTTCACCCAAGCTTCAAGTTTTTGTGCTAAAATCTCCAACTTGGATACTTTGTTGTGAGATTTTAAAAGTAGATGACATAATAATTAGGCAAATATGTAATTTAGTATTTTGGTTTTCCATGTTTTCCTTGATCCTGCCAATACATAAGAAATGTGTTTACATTTTCAAGTGTAATAACCTGACATGTCACTACACTTGATACAGTTCAGTTATTATTTAACAAAAAACATACACATCAACTATCTTATGATTAGCATGCAAATAGTTCGTGGATATTCATGCAACAATTGTGTGTTTGTGTTAGTGCGAGAAAACATAAAACAGAACCTAGCCATAAATGCACACAACACATGTATAATAATCTCAATTTTAACCGGTCATTATTTCTACAAATATAAGTAAATGCATAAATTCATGATTTGAATGTTTTCAACCAAAAACTGCAAATGATTATGACTATTAATTCAAAAACTCAAACTTAGTGAATTTACATACAAAAACAAATGGATAAAATATTCTAAGTTTTTTAATTTTCATATTTTCTTAAATTATTTTTATCAATTACTTAATATAAATTTTCAAGGATGTTAATTTACTAATTTTTCTCAAATAGTAGATGAGATAAATAATGGAAAAATATGTAGTTCAATATTTAGGTTTGCTTGCCTTGCTTGATCTCGATAATATGCAAGCAATGTGTTTACATTCTTCATTACCCTTTCAAAAATTTTGATTATGGGCGTCAAATTGAACACATGACTAGAAGCACCACAATTTTTTTCATTTGCCTAGGGACAGAAGGACTTGTATCCTTAGGGAGTCCATAGCCTTCTTGAAATTTTTTAATTTCTTTTAAAGTATAATCAATTAACTATTATTATTATTATTATTATTATTTTTATTAGATTTGATTTAAAAAAAATAGTCATATATGTGGGCTTTGCTTTGCTCTTTTAAAGTATTTAAAAGAGTTAACCTTTCAAATTTCATTTACTTTCTTCTTAAGAGTGTTATAAATGGAATTAATGGGATATGTAATTTAAATAGTATTATTTCTTTCACCCTTTATTTTTTTTCTAACTCAACAACAAAATATTAACAATTTGTTGTTTATGGTTTATTCTATTATGTGAATCTCTTTTTTACAAATCGATTAATCAATATTGTATGTGTATAACTCAAAATTGCTTCAAACAATTTATTAATAATGTATTAGATTCAAAGACCCCATAATGCATTTAAAAAGTTTAATGACCCATGAAAAACTTATTTTATCCTTATCATTAGGAAAGCTTATAATGGTGATAAAGGAATTGAAATTAAATCCTTGCATACCATAATTTCTTTTTACTAAGTTATTCCTAAAAATCTTATTTTAAAATATTAAATAACAATTACTACACATACTATTTTATAATATATCATTAAATGAGACTTAATTAATAATTTTATTAAATTTATCAAGATTTCTTTATATGTCTTTCTCAATAACCTTTACATTTCTCTCGATATTTTTTTTATCTCAATTATATATTTGGAAAAAAATTATCTTTTATTGTTATGTTAAAAATGTTTGATTATATTGATTTAAATTAATTTTGTGATTGTTTATTTTGCAAAAAAAAAACGGTAATCATTACTTTTTTCCTCTTATATTTTTTAAGTCTTGTTAATGAATTTTATAATATATTCTTAATTATTTTTAATAAAAATTCTCCTCAAACATATATTTTCAAACTATATTTGAAAGAATATGAGGAACATAATTTTTCTCTGATATTTTTTTGCTATCATTTTTTCTTTGAATTTTAATTTGAAAGAGTTTATTGTTTATTTAACGTGTACATAATTATATAGATTTTTTTATGATTGACCATTTGGCCCCCTAACCATCTAAGGCTAGTTCTGTCGCTAGTAGAAACCTTTTTGGGTTTCCAAAAGATGTCAAATCTCCTTTGGACAAGGAAGGTTGGTAAACCCCTCAAATCTTAGAAGATGATGAAAGATAAGACCTAAAACTCTTTTGGACAGGGAGGGATATCCATCTGCTTGAAATTCTCAAAGAATGGTATATAACATTCTTTGGATGGAGATGTGTGTGAACCCTTAAAATCCCTAACAGTGTGAACCTTTAGTGTGACACTCATACTCCCAAAACATTTAATGCGGTATTATTACATAAATGCATTTCTTTATAAAGGATTAAATAAAATAATTTATTTTATTCGTAATGTAAAAAGGTTCACACATCTTAAATAAAAACATCATATTATAAAAGGGAAAGAAAAAGAATAAGATCATAAACAGAGGCACAAACCAACCTTTGCCAAACCTCAAGAAAATAAAAACATAATAAAACAACTATAAGTTCAAGGCATAAATTTAAACATAAAATCATCTTGCCCCAATGTCAACTATCAAAGCAAGACCCATGACATAAAATTGAAGCATCGAGCTTTGTCTCCCTCTTGCTCAACCTCATACACTTGATCAATTCCTACATAGTGTTCAACCCAAACAAGAAATACAACTACAAAACAAAAAAAGGAGTGAGAATGTATCTAACACATGTATAAGCACATATAAGACATATAGATAACATACTAACACATCACACAAACGCAACTCACATAAATACAATTCGTTCAATTCTCAATATTCATAATACTTCATTCAACACATCAAACCCAAAATCATCCACATCACCATTCAACAACTCATGCTCCTAACTTTATATGTATGTGATACTAATCTCCAATAAACCAAATCACCACACATTGGTTGACTATCTCAATCCACTCTCAATTATAGGAGATCTATCAGGTTTCAGTTGAAGCATTACAATCAATTGTGGTCACCTCCTATACTCATTAGAAGTTCCATACCATAAAGCTCCTAAGGCCAAGGTAGAAGACCATAGAGATCTTCTTGCATAGATTCACACCACCTCCCAAAGAAACTATGCATGAATGCATGGACTCCTATACAATATCATCAAGCACAACAAATGATGTCAATTCTCAACATCAACATCATCAATTTGTTAAACCTTTCTATCTAAACTTCTCCATAAGATATCAAGCTCCTGCCTAGATTTCACCACTACCAATCTTTTGTCTGGACTTCCTCATCTCATCATCAACATCACTTCTTTATTCTTACTTAATATATTTCACATTTCAATCATCATGTTCACTTCTCCTCTTTAATTACACAAATATAGTTACATTTTATACTTTCACATCTTTCCTCAATTATGATTATTATACTTATCTCCTACTCTCTATCATTTCCTTACTAAGTATTATATTTCTCAGTTTCTCATTTCTTTTCTAGTTATCATCCTTCAACAGGCACACCTTTCAATTATGAGATTTCCTACAAATCACCAATTAGTTTCCCTATTAATTCTTATTAGTCTTACACTCACACAACCTCTTTCCATTACAACCTCTTTATTAACAGATTGCAAAATTCATCACAACACATATAATAATATGTCAACAATAATCTCATTTATTCCATACATGCACCAAATGAAATTCAACCTGTAATCTAAGAGAGGCTTAGGAGTCATCTCACTACCTATACCCCTTATATATGTGTTCATTGGTGAGGCATTTTCACTCTCTTTTTACCTTAGATAGTGATATCTCAGGTACAAGCATGATCCTCTATCATTACGGGTTATGTTTTACTCTACGTCGATTTAGGGTTTAGAAATTTGACGCATCATATGAGATAACCCCTCTTTTACTTATTTTTTTTTAATAAAACTATAGATTGAGTTTTGAATCTAAATGCAAATACTCCTTTCCAACTCACCTCTTAAACTCTATTTTATTTTATTTCTTAAAAATATTCTTATTTATATTATAAGCTCAAATAAATAAATTAAATAAACTTATATTATAAATATTATTTAACAAATTTATTTTATTATTTATTTTAAAAAATAGGATGTTACGCTTAAAATCCCTAAGGGTGCAAACTCTTTGAGATTATGAGTTCATATCTATCATTAAATAAAGTAATAAATACCGTAGAAAGTTAATTATGTTATTGCTCTATAAAAACCTAATTATAAACAAATCTTCGATTACAATATAATTATAATCAAATCTTTAATTACTCTAAGTTAAAGATAAAGAAAGTTGTTAATATTAAAATGATCGACGAATATTTGACTGGATTGGCTTATGTCTAATATTTTACCATCTAAACTTCATAATTATTTTAAAAATAAAGATCAAAATAAAATAAAAGAGAGAGAAGTAAATAAAAATCCCAAAAAAAAAATGCTCTCAACGAAGAAAATAAACTAAACACTCGATAAAAGGTAATCATTAAAACCCATTCCGTGCAAAATACATATTCTAATTTATATATAGAAAGGGATTTACTAATTTTAGAAGATAAAAAATATAATTTAGTCTATATAATAATTATTTTAAAACGTATTAAAAAATAATTTATAACTGATTCACAGTATAAAAAGTGTATACTGATTGTGTAATAATTTAAACTCGTTAAAACAATCCTAGTTGAAGAATTCAAAAAAAATCCTGGTTGTACACATCTCAACTGTTAAAATAATTGTTTTCCTGACTGAAATTTTGTTCTCAGCCTTATCATTAATTATTATCTAAATTAATGGCAGATGCTAGTACCCAGGTCAACATAATAATGGAATAAAAAAATGCAATTTATACTTCGTACGTAATTTTCCTTCTGACAACTACATATTGACCATTACGTAGTTAATACGGCATTTGTTGCAAAACCAGAACATAAAACAATTTGCTAAAGATATCATGTTGACTAAACTACTGCATAAAACACAAGGGACTTTGTCAGTATTGCATCATAAAATTTAAATAAACTTTAACCTATAGTCATATATGCTTATCATAAATCAAGTAATTGCATCGATAAAGAAAAGAAAGCAAAAATCCTATAAGACTGTTTATAAAATGACACTTTACAAGTTCCCTTTGCATATATATAAGGCTTCAAAAGAACCTAGTAATTACAGCTTTGCCTAACCTGTAACCACTCCCTTGTATTACTGAAAAGATGAAACTATATCATATGAAGTATGGCCATCCTGTAAATACTTTATTCTTTCCTTTTTCCTTTCTTTCATGTACAAATGCCACATCCAATGGACTTGTATGAATCTAACAACTATGAGTTCAACATAAAGCTATAATGGTGCAACTCAACCATGTTTAATGCAGCCCTTTGCTCATTGTTTAGGGCCTTTCTTTTCAGACTTGGAATTATCATCTTGAGATTGAGACTGACCATCTTGAGCCTGAGAATTAGACCTATGATGATAGTAATTTTTGGCATTCTGAATGGCTTCCCCAAGTTCTATGTACATCTTGACACAAGACCCAGAAAAATTATTTAATTGACCAAGAAACCCAAGAAGGCTTGTGCGAAATCGATCAAAACTTGAATCCCAGTCCTCTGATGCATCATCTCCCAATAGATTACGCGATGATTCACCGCGGACATGAGCAGTCCAAGATGTCATATGGGGGAGATTTGTGTTTTTACCCTGATTCTCATGACGCGGTAAGAATCGGGCAGTTTCACATTCTAAACTCCTCATGGAATTCAAAACATCCTGGATTGGTAATTCACCAAGCTTTTCCAACCAGATTTCACAGGTAGCGTATATGGGAGGACCATACATTCTTAGGAGTGGACGTTGGGGTCTCTTTTTCTTGGTTGATTTTTGTTTAAGAGAAACACATTTGTACAGCCACCCATTTATGGCATCCAGATAGGACTTCTGAGCTATAATCCATTTGGTAAAACTTGAGGATAGACAATGGAGCTCACTTTCAAGATAGGAAGTGATTTGTCTACGTAACTCAGAGTGGGTGAAGCTTATACCGTGACTGTTGTTATTGGCCGTTGACATTATCTGGAACTGAAGCTTGTGGCACTCAAACATCGCTCCCCACATCCGACTTAACCTGCCATCAATGCAAAATAGAAACATAAGCAAAAAAGAAAGCAATGATTTCATATTTATAGACACAAGAAAATTAACATGTATAAATCATTTGCTTCATGCATAAGAAAATGCAAATGTTTATAGACAACATCAGTAAGTTACTAGGACACAAATCATTTGACAGAGACTAGCAGAAATGAGATAAAGAAAGTCATGTCCTTTGCACATAATAATATTAACAGAGATGACCTTGATAGGAGACCAATGATTAAGAGAGTGTATGTAAGCCACAGAGGGGGAACCTCAATTGTAACAGAATGGTCTGAATAGTCTTTAAATAGGGGAAGGAAAGGGTGTTAGAGGAAGGTAGGCAGTTATTCAGAAGTTGTTAAGAGAGTAGAGGTCTCTCAAATACCTCATTGTATTTGTCTGGTTGTTTTGATCAGGAGGATTACTCAATAATACAGAAAGGCTTGTGTCTAAATTCTTTTCAATCTGTTTAATCTTTCTTAAATCTTACTATGCTATCAGTTGGAACCTATCAACTGGTATCTAAACAGGACCATCCAGCCACAAAATTGATGGTTCACAAAAAGATGTACGCAAGAATCAAAGCTTTGGAGTGAGAACTTCATGAATTGGAGGAAAGAATGCAAGCTTCGCTGCAACAAATGGAAGATCGCCTGTTGCAAAGAATCTGCAAAATCTTGGGTAATTGAGGGAAATCCTAGTCCACGGGCAAACTACGATAATAGTGCAACTCATGGGGGGAAAAACAATGGGAACGCTAAAACCACAGGAAACACACATGGGAAAAACTTGAATCAAGGAGGCAGTGACAATTCCAACCACATCAACGAGTTCAAAGGTTGAGGAAAAATTCAGGAAAATTGAATTACCCATTTTTGAAAGAGAGCATATACTTTGTTGGATAGGACGAATTGAGAGGTACTTTCTCTTGAGAAGCATCAACTAATAGGAAAAAATGGAAGCCGTTATGGTGGCAATGTATGGAGGCCCTTTCTTGGTTACAATGGTGGGAATCTTGCACCAAGAATCTCACATAGGGGAATTTAAAGAAGCAATCTTGAAAAGATTTCAACCAACAATGGTGAAGAATTCATTCAAAATCTTTTGGGGTTGAAGCAAGAAGGTACAGTGAGGGTATAGGAGACAATTTAAGGTATTGGTAAGCCCGTTAAAGATCAACCAGCCAGAGTACCTAAGTGGAATTTTTGCCAACGATTTCGAGGAGGAGATTTGGGCAGATGTGAGGATTCACAGACCATCTTCATTGAAGGAGATGATGGACATCGCATTAATAATTAAGAAAGGAATGGAATCATCAACAAGAAGAGTGGGTATTTCCAACATAGTATCCAATTCCATAATTAAGGTGGGGGAAGTCAAAAAACAAGTCAGCCAACAAAAGGTTGCATTAGTTTGGGTTGCATGCGTACAACAGAACTGGTAGGTTTCAATCAGTTGATGGAGGGAACAAGGAGGGAATACAACATAGAGCAAGTGTAGAAGAGAGGAGTAAAGTTTCCAATGGATCTAGGCGACTTCCTAATGAGTAGTATCATGAAAAGATGAGGAAAGGTCTTTGTTTTCATGTAATGAGAAGTATCCTACACATGTATGCAAAAACAAATTGCTTAAGATCATGATTATGGAAGATGGTGATGGAGAGATGGAGATTGTTTGGGATGTGGGTTCAGCTCACTCATGGTAAACAGTTGAAGATATTCAGCATCAAATTCCAGATTTTCACATTGAGGACAATGTAAAAGTTTTAGGGGGGAATATTTTTAGGAGACCAATGATTAAGGTGTATGTAATGCATGGAGGGGGAAACGATTGTAACTGAATGGTCTGAATAGTCTTTAAATAGCGAAGGAAAGGGTGTTAGTGGAAGGTAGGAAGTTATTCAGAAGTTGTTGAGAGTAGAGGTCTCTCAAATCCCTCATTGTATTTCTCTAGTTGTTTTGATCAAGAGGATTACTCAATAATACAAAAGGCTCGTGCCTAAATTATTTTCAATTTGTTCAGTCTTTCTTAAATCTTTCTATCATATCTGTTGGAACCTATCAGACCTATTTAATTGAAAGTGTATTTCAGTTGCGTGAACCAGACCCAGAACGACAATCACAATAAACAAAAACTCGATCTCTACTATATTTATTTCTTCAAAAAGTTCTGTTTATTAAAGGCACACTGAATTGCTTGTTTTCAGGTGGTGCTCCTCTCATCTCAGTCTCAAAATATACTGTAATATAAATATAACACAAGACAGAATGAATAAAGAGCCTTAGTAAAACAAGAGGAATCAATAGAATCATACCCTTCAATCAACTCCTCAAGTTGAGGCTGAAGCTCTTTGTCCCGCAATTCCTCAATCCTCTTTGATACAGAGTCTATCCTAAGAATTGCAACTCTAATTCTTGAATGCAGATCCTTGACTACAGCCCGCATTTTATCAATTGTAGAAGTCTTTTCTCCTTTTGATTCCAGATGCTGTAAGATTTTACACTTCATGTCATATTCCTTTCTGATCATCCCACTAGCCTGCAATTAGCAGAAATAGGTTGACAATCTATCAAATTCAAAACCGATTGAGAACAATATAAAAGGAACCAGAACTAATCTTGATAGACACAAATCTTTCATAAGACTCCATGTGATTGGGATTCAGATTCTGTGGTCTGTGCATACCCAAAACCATTAATCTCACAGATGCATAAAAGATAAAAATCAGGATGTGTAAAATGAATAATAACAAATCATCCATTGTTGAAGTTTAAGGTTCCACAATATGAAAGAGGAAAAAGGTCAAATTTAATTTGCTCTAGCTTCATATGCTCAGCCGACTGTTTTCCACTTAACCTCCAAAATCACACTCTGCATCCCAAAAGCTAAGCCACCCCTACTGCTCCCGTCTATCCTGTCTGTTAAGTTTTCACTCACATTTGCCATGAATTTTAGAAAATAGAAATATTGCCTTGCCTAGTTAGTGTCGGACAAGCCAAGCCAAGGGATTTTAAAAAATTCAAAAGGATATGTATTACAAGAGTTTGATGTGTGTGTGATATAGTTCTTAGATCACTAACCAAAGCTCCATATTTGGATCATATCAACACCCTCTTCAAATTTTGATCTCACAAATATCCTGGTTCTACATGATTTGATGTAACTAAACATTCTTTAAAGGGAAAATTTTTATTTATTATACCTACGATGTCAACATCAGAAGAACTTGGCTGACTAGATACTAAAATCATGTCATGAAGTAACTGCTTAATCTAACTCTGTAAGCATGCTCACTCATCAAGGATAGACAGGCCTGATATTCTATACTATCTATTTTTTGGTCCACCATCCACAACTATGTAAACATTTCCAACAAAACAACAAATTTACAAAGAAAAGCCCCTTCTTCCACAGTTCAAAGCCAAGGAAATGACAGCAGGAGTTAGATAAAGCTATATTTGGATGAAACAACAAATATTTGGATGCAGTGATGGTATGTTGCATATATGAAAACATTGACATTGATGCTGTTACCATTTGGAATCTTGGATAAGCTTTTATAATGTGATGTGCACACCAAATGTTGTATAAAGCTATATAGGATAGCATATTGTTGCTAATGTGCCAAACAATTCTATCTAGGGTGCCAAACAAGTCATAAAGAATGAAAAGCTACCAAACATGGTAATAATTGCATGTACCTTGTGTGTGTGTAAAATTAAAGCTGTATCAAACCAATGAATTGTTTCACTGAGAAACAGTTGATATCCTTTATTCTACCATGGCATGTACCTTATGGCTTAAACTAATTGTTAATGTAACAACTTCAGAGCTTAGTCTGATATACAAACCAAGATATCTGCAACAACCTACTATCAAAACATAACATACCCAACATAAAATAAAGTTCTGTAATTGTTCCTAAGAAATACACAGTATACAGTACCTTGACTTCATCATAGAGCTTCCTTTCCCATGCATATAATCTATCCAAGGTTGATACATGACTTCCAGAGATCATGCAGAAATTATCAAAAAGATTATTTGTAAGGTCCTCAATATCATCTTTTGTGTTTGCTCCAGGAGGGTTTCTGGATGAAGAGGACAGAGATGACATTGTCCTATGCCAAGTTAAGTACTTGACCGAGTTTTGAGCAGGTTCTAAGAAGATGTAGTGAAAAAAGAAAAAAAATTAGCAATAGGATTCCAGAAACAGCTTTCAACAAACAGCAATCATATAGATAAAGAGAATTTGAAAAGCTTCTAATCTCACAGTTCATTGGAAAGTTGTTAAATACTGAGATAAGCACAAAAAATATTAGAAATGTAAAACATATTAACAATTTAAATGGGCCAGACCAACTACTAATGAAATTCAATATAAACTTCCAATAATTTCATGCACAATTCCAACAATACAAAGATTTAGTAAGAAGATAGGGCATATATGTGCTCCAAAGGAACAAGCCTGAACCAAAAGTCTGACTGATCAACACAAGATGATCTGCAAACTGCAAAGTCCTAGTAACATGAGAGATCAAAAGCAAAAGTGCTATGGAAAATACCTTCTGGAAGTTGACTTGGGTCTTTCCCACATGAGAAACATGCCTTCAAATATGATAATGTCACCGATCGATCTGTTACAATAAGAATTATCATATTTCAACTTTAAAGCAATTAATCTTTAAGTGAATTACATAGTAATGTAAAGAAACTTCCATAAACATCTTTGAAAATGAAATTTTATTTTCAACCCAAAGAAAACAAAATATCTAGTCCAACGAAAGTACCATGACCCCAATTATGGACATTTATGCAGAATCTGCTTAGCCTATAGCGTAAAATCCCTTTTATTTTTTCACTAAGTGTCCATACAGCATATCTTATGTAGTCTACACAAGTGACATATACTATAAACCATAAATAAAAACACAGCATGCCATATAAAACTTCATTTTTATTTTATTTGTACACTTCTATTAATGGATTTTGATAGCTCTCATGTGACTTTTTCACATGACTAAAGAGTGATGAACAGAGACCCTGCACAAGGCCATAAATTCTGACATGTCCGGGATCTTTGTCACTATTCATATCGACATGATCTTGTCAAGTCAATAACTCATGAGAAAGATCCAAATCCTCCTAAAAGCTGCTAAAATTTAACATTAACCTAGCACAACGACATATGGAGATTAGAGATAGAAAAATTACTTTCTTTTGCTGGAAATAGAGGATGAATTTGCAGCTTATTTGCTCCAAGCATTCTTGGAACTTCTTTACCAGATTCAGAGGCTTTCAAAAAGAGGAGTTCAATATCTTTCATGCATGAAAAGAAATCCTTAGGAACAACTTTTTCACTGTGATTTTCTTTCTCCATAAATTTATTTGTTTCAGTTGGATAAACAACTTCTGTAGAAGCTGTCCTTAATGGCGATACAACAGGAGAGCTCCCCTTCTCCCCATTCACGAGTTCAACTTCAGAAGCAGAATCCCCTGTCAGAGGCTTATTTGGGACAGGTAAACCATTGGCTTTAACATGATCACTAACTCTATTACGATTTTCAAACCTTTGGACTAGGGTATCTATGGTAGGCTCATCATCAAATTCATCTTCAGAGTCTAGAGAATCCTCCTTTCCATGAGATGAAACCTTCTCATCATCTTCTAACTCAGGAATTCCTTCCTCCTCCCTAAGTTGTGTTATATCATCAGCATTCCCCATATCTTGGTGAATGACCTCCCCTTGAAAAGAAAGTTGATGATCAATAGGATGAAAGAGGCCAAAAAAATCCCATGGTGGAGTTCCAGCTGGAAGAGAAGAATCTTCAAATGCCGATGTTTCAGACTTTTCAGTGAAATCAGGAGTGGCATTCTGTGGAGTACCTGATGATATTACTGTTCCTATAACAGGAACAGGTAGTTTTTCTTCAACCTTTTTAGAAGAAAAACTGCTAAATTTCATATGGTTTGCTTGGAACTTACTAGAGCTAGGAGGAGAGGGAGTTGGAGAAAAAGTCTCAGTTGTATCAACGCATCGTGATGCAGATGGCGAAGATAATGAGAACTGGGACAGGGTTTTGTCAAGTGGCTCTGGTGTGGGATTAGTAGAAGTGTACAAGGAAGATTCAATTGGTGCTTCAGCTTCTGTGAATTTTCTCAATGCTGTTCCTGTACTTTTCAGGGACTGGACATATGAAACATGAGCAGCTGCTAAAGAGCAACGCCCTTCAAGGGCTTGCCTAACAAATTTCTTCCTTTCACGGCACAGCTGAAGTGCCTTATCATCATCCATTTTGGAGCTTGAGGCCCCCATTAGCTCAAACTTACTCTTTATGCAAATTTTGGTGTAGAACTTCTATCTGCAGAGTAAATCAGCATCAAATATATCAACAAAACCAGATTATGAAACATTATAATTGTAACTAACTTGCATCAAGTCTAAACATCATAAAGGAAAAGATGTTAAAAGTTATAAATACCAAATATCACCATCATTATACATCGCGACAAAAAGCAGAAATAAATACGTCCCATCGCCATACATCGCGACAAAAATGTTGAAATTAAAAAAATAATAATAATAAAACCATCAATAACAGCCTCAACAATTGTCAAAGGGAAAAACAGATCAATCAAAGAAAAAACAACATCCACTCAGCCAAGAAACAAATTTCCTAGCAACTTTGCTCGCATGTGGAAAAGGGCAAAAAAAACAAGATACATACTCGAAAACACTAACTTAACACTATACACACTAAAACAGATGATACTATATTGGCATCATAAAAACAAAAGGAAAACATTTTGAATTAAATTAGAAACCAAAGTTGGGGGCAAAGAGACACGAGAACCCCATGAATATTCCCACAGCCAAAGTCTCCCAATTTAGCACACAAATTCCTCATAAATTATGCATAAACAACATCATACCCTCAATCCAAACCCTCAACTTTCCTACTTAAACTACGGGGCCATTAAAATAATAAAGTCACAGCACAAAGAAGACAACCTAATACAGCAAACCATAATAGCAAGAAAGAAACGTAAACTTCACAACCCAATACTAAACACAGTGCTTGGATATGCAGAAAGCAAAAAACTTTACACAAAGGAAACGACTTTCAGTGAAGTAAGAGAAAACCAACCTGCAAAATAGAAAAACTAAAATTGGGTAATTCTCAAAAATACAGAATTTTCAATCAAAACCCGAATGGCACAGTGAACACAAAACATAAAAATAAAATTAAAAAAAATATATATATACTGTAAATAGAATTTGATGAGGTCGAGAAATTTGGGTACCGAGGGTGAAGTGAATCAGTGGTGCACGCCAAGAGCATGGATTTCAGTGAGAACCGAGAACAGCAAAGAAAGCATTTTTTTTTTCTAGAGAGAGAAAGTGAAAGTGCGGGACGAATCTCGATCAACCTATGGATGTTTCCATGCAAAAGGCATAAAAAAGGACAGACTATCCTGAGTTTGGACTGTGGGGCCCAGTCATATTTGTATAAAGATTGACCGTGAAACTGAATGTGTTTGATTACTTATTAGTTCAGAAAACATAAAATAAAAGGAAAGAAAAGATATACATAACAATTTCTATCCTATTATTTTTGTACATGTAATATTATTTTTAAAAAAATAAAAGCTAAGAGAGATATAAAAGGAATATAAATATATATATATATATATGAGATGAAATGTTTTTATTAACTATTACAAAATTTAATAAATTTTTATTAAACATAAATTTTGTTATATATATAATTATTATATAATTTAATAATTTTATATTAAACATGAATTGTTATATATATATATAATTATTATAAAATTTAATAATTTGATATTAAACGTGAATTACGTAATAATATATTAAGAATATGAATATTAAATTTTACATATTTAAAATCTTATAAGTATATTATCATATTATATG